AAAAAAAAAATTATCACTACAATTGAGCCCAATGTTTCTGTTGCTAAGCGAGGCATTTGTTAAGTGACTTTTGCACCATTTAATGACCTCTCTTGTCTTGTTGTTAATCAATTGCAGCAATCACTGCAATTGCTAAGTTAGTAATAATGCTGTTAGATAAATCTGGCTTCCCCATTGACTCTGCTGGTCAGAAGGTTACAAAAGGTGATCACATGACCCCAAGACACTGTTGTCAATATGGATTGGTTTCCAAGCATCTGCATTTTGATCACATGACCACGAGTAGTCTGAAAGGGTCATAAGCATAAGTCACTTTTTTCAGTGGTATTGTAATTTTGAAGGGTCACTCAAATGAACTGTTGTAAGTGGCTTCAATTAGTAAACCAGTCACTTCCAATCTGCTAGCCAGTTTCTTTACAATTTCAGCCTGAGTCAATCTGATACTAAATTTCTTCCATACAAGGACACATCTTTGCTTGATGAAGTAAGCCCCTTTTAGGTGTTCTGCTATCCAGAACCCTTACTACTGATACAACTCTTGTTATGATATAATTAGCTTCAATGTACTTACTGAAATCTGTCTGACAAGAGTGTTTGTTGTATAGTGGCGATTTTATTTATTTATTTATTTTATTTATTTAAATTTTTATACTGCCCTTCTCCCGAGGGACTCAGGACGGTGCACAGCCTACTATAAAACACATATATCCATAAAATTTAAAAAACAGTTTAAAAACATATTAAATAATTTGGCCCCAATATTATTAAAAAACTAAAACAAACCATTAAAATTCATGTGTAAGCCAGCCCAGCTTGTTGAAACAATAATGTCTTGAGGGCACAGCGAAAGGTGCGTAGGTCAGGGACCATACGTATCTCCGGGGGCAATTCATTCCAGAAGGCAGGTGCCCCCACAGAGAAGGCTCTCCCCCTGGAGGTTGCCAGTCAACATTGTTTGACTGATGGCACCCTGAAGAGTCCCTCTCTGTGGGAGCATATTGGCCCCCTATCTGTTATCGGTGGCAGAAGGCGATCTCGTAAGTACCCAGGTCCTAAGCCATGGAGCACTTTAAAGATGGTAACCAGCACCTTGAATCGTACCCGGAAGACCACTGGGAGCCAATGCAGTTCGCGCAGGAGAGGTGTTACATGGGTGCGCCGTGTCTCTCCCATAATCAATCGCATGGTGGGGGATATTTAAGCCAATCTCAGTGCTGTCAATAGAGAGCTTTCATTCAATATTTGTGTAGATTAAAGCTCAGGTTATGATAGCAATAAGGATTCCTAAATCAAAGTATGAAATTAAAAGAATTTGGGTGTATATAATAATAAACAGGAATACTTTTTAGCAATAAGTATAATAGTAGTAGTTAAATATATAAACAGGGTAAACTTCTAAATCAAATAGCAGCTCACTGAAGGCAAACAATTGCTTACTCGCAATCCAGCAGTCTTGGAGTTTCAGCAATTTTTCAAGTCAGAGGACAGAACTGCTTGCTGTGATATATTGTAGGGTTGATGCTTGAATTACCAAGCCTTCACCTCAAAGGACTTGAACAACAGTTTCTATTTGTCTGCAACTTCATCTTCTAGCAATTGGATTAAACTCCAGCCCCATTAAATGGTATCAGATTAAGCCCTACTCTCAACATATTATTCTGTGAAATCAGCTTTTCTTCAACATTCACATTTGTGTAATTAACATTAGATAAATAAAAGTTTGTATTATGGTACTGGCTCATATGGTAGCTAACATGGCTCAATGATGAATGTCTTCAGAGAAGCCAATATCATTAAATGTTTATCTGGGTAGCAGTGAGTCACCTGAACTTCTCTTGTCATGAACATGCCAGATTTCTAATGCCTGAATGGGCCTCCTAAATGCAACAGATCCAGCAGACAGAACAATATAATGAAAACTGGACCATCAAGAATGGTCATCGCTTATATAAAAACAACCATACAGTTTGTTTTACTGTACATAGCTATTAGTGAAACAATATTGGGTGAAGATAAAGGGGAATGGTAACCATATTCCTCTAGTAGCCTACGATGAAACCTAGCAATAAAATATCTGAAGTGTTTAGGAATCTTATAAGAAAGCTCTATACAGCTGATAGTTAAAATTAGCCATATGGTTGTTGTTGTTTTTTTTTACAATGTAGAATGGATTTGTTTAAGTCAATTTAATCAAGATATCAATATATTTCTATATAATGCTATGGCATATTGCTTGCAGTTTAAGGGTATCATTTTATTTTAATTACAATTGTTAATGAATCTATAGAGTAAGAAAATGCTAAGACTAGTCTTGAAGATAACGTAGATGGCTGCAGATCTTAGCATTAAAAAAAAAGCTGCTTGCTAGTAATGTTCCAGTTACATTTCTGTACTATTTCTGAAAATACTTTTTGTTGTGCTTCTTAGCAATGAGACAAGAAAGAAGTTAAGACAAGTGAACTATTTATGAAGTTTTATCTGACATCATATATTTGTATTTATGTACTTATGTAAATGCAGACAAAATTAATTCTGATTTGATAGTTTTTATGCTGAGTATATTGGTAAGCATAAATATGAACAAACTAAATCTGAAGTTGCAAAAGCAAATCACCTGGGATATACACAAGTGTGTATGTACTGTGTGTGTGTGTATGTGTATATATATGTACATACACACAAAACCACCATATCTCTGGCATCTAGTATGACGATGAATAGCATACAAAATTTAGCTTAATTAAAAGATGTCATCCTCAAAACCCTGAAATATAAGGACACTCAAAATAATAGAATTGATTCATCCCTCCCTCCCTCCCTCTCTATTTTTATCGTACTATCATTTTCAAATGCACATGAAATATAAATTCCACCATATCATTATCTTTTCTCCCTATACATAAACACAAATGAAAAACCTACTCAGACCCATAGGTGTTGTACAGGAATTGCATGAAAAGCTAATGAGATGTCATGCATTTAGAACAAGGACTCTGCAGACTAGGCAGTGGCTAGTGAATAATTGTGCTTCTCTGTAATTAAGCTAAGCATAACAACATGGGAATCATACATGGATAGTAAAATACAGATAAATTGAATCCGTGGTTTATGTTTGGAATGCAAAGATTCAAAGGTGCCACTAGTCACTCCACTTTGTAAACTAGATTTTCAAGATAAAGATTGGATTAATTTATAAGGACAATCCATTTCTAGTAAAATCAATATCTGATGCCAAAAATGTATTAAACTCTTCCATAGTATGAAAGTCTGATCTTTTGTTGAGAATACTTTTGGCTATTAAATTACAAAATCTATAAATAATTTTTTCAATTTTTTTAAAAAAGAAGAAGAAACTGCTTTCAGCTTTAATTGCAGGAGTAGAGATTGATATTTTATTTTAAATTAGCTACAGTATATGTCTGCTTAAGCATTCTCATTCATAGCCAAGTAAAAAGGTTTTACTATACATGGCTGTATATTATTTTGAAGATTAGACACATATATGGATGTGTATATGTGTAAATATACACATATTTAATTTCCTGCAGGAATAGAATTTTGCACTTGAACAAATCAATAATAGTTCATTTGTTGACATTCTGTGGTTTTCCTGTCAGCATAAGTGTCCACAGATCATTAAGTAGTAACAAGATTAGTTACCATGCTATTCCCCAAAGAAGAAAAGCAGGGTCAAGAATGACTCCAAGGACACTACTTATTAAAATGATTATGCAGGTAAAGCAAAAGATAAGCTTTTGATTTGCCCAGATCTCCTAAGTGCTGTTCTATTGTACTCAGCCAGCAGAGATGATCCTTTAAGCTTTCATCTGAACAGATTTGGAGACCCAGAGGTGTTTTAGATAGACTATTGGATCATAAAACAGGATCTCTATGCCTTAATTTCCTTTTGCAGGTGTAAAGTAAGGACAAAGGAGAAATAAAATCTTGCATATTTATATAGCGTTATTTAAATTGTACTCTGTATATTTATATTATTATTTTCAAATGATCATATCTGTGACCAAGGCCAAGATTCGTAGAATGTCAAATACATGCATACTCAGGGACTTTAGAGCTTCAGACTCTTGGTGGGCCTCAGAAGCTCTATATAGACAGCAATATCCATTCCTTAATAGTACAATACAATTACCTCAAACAGAACAGAACAGAGTTGGAAGGGACCTTGGAGGTCTTCTAGTCCAACCCTCTGCTCAAGCAGGAGACCCTATACCATTTCACTGGTGGTCCAATTTCTTCTTCGAAACCGCAAGTGATGGAGCACCCACAACTTCTGGAGACAGGCCATTTTGACACAAAAGTCAAAATAAGCTTATAGAAACAATTCAGTGAAAAACAGCTTTCCTTGATTTCATGATTAAGGAAAAAAATAATAATCCGGGCATAGGAACTGTATTTCAGGTTACATTCGGATTACCCACTTAAAGCATAATTTCCTGTTATTTTAAGTTTTAAAACTCCATTCATCCATCTACGACAATTAGGTACACAAAGAAACACATGCTTTGAACCAGAAGTGTAAGCTCCAAGTCCATATTCTTTCTCTGTTTAACAGGACTTACCTGAGCAAACCAAGAATATTTAGGTAAGCTAAAATGGAGTGGACATTCCTTTCAAAGCTTCATTGAGTTTAATCAGTGGCATAGCATTGTTGGTTTGGTCTGGGCCTGAGGAAGCTTTGAATTAATGCAGAAACTTAACTTCCTTTCCACCATGCATGAGAATGTTTTCTCCTCCATCTGTCACTTAAGTGGGGCAAATCAATTGACACTGCCAGATGAGACAGAGCGACCATTCCATTAGCCCATGAAAGGAACAAGTGATCCTTTCATGCCTATGGGAATTGTCTTCCCTGGCAGCTACTTTGCAGACTTACAGAACCTGCTTTTTTTTGCACATTAAATAATATTCTTTCAGTTCAGCCATTACCCCTCCCACTCCCAACAACTCCCTCTCCCTTTCTTCCTCTCTCTCTCTTTTACCTTGATTGCTGGAAACATGACTGCAGACTCCCAGGCACACCAGCAGCAGCACCAAAGGAAAGAACAGGTTAAATTTCCAAAGGAAGCCCCTCATTTCACTGCTGTCCATGGCTGGGACCTCAGACCTTTCTCCTGGTCCCACACCGGGACTGAGGATGTCAGGTTCTTTGCCTGTCCGGGCTAATAAGCAGCGTGGAAGCCCTGAGGGAAGGAAGAATCAGGTTCGCAGTTGTGGCTAAAGCTGAAGAAATAGCAAAGGGGTGGGGGTGGGGGTGGGGAGAGATGTAGTGGGGTGGGGAAAAAATTGTCCTGAGAAGAGCTTCCTTCCCCTCTAAAACAGTGGCTGGAGGGCAAAGGACATCGTTGAGCTTGTAAGACTTGAAAGGCAAACAGCTTAGCCAGAAAACTTTCCTCGGTTCGGATGCAGTGTATGTGTGTGTGTCTGGGTGAGTGTTTGTGTGCGTGCGTGCGTGTGTGTGTGTGTGTGTAAGAAGGGTATCCAGGCTGGTGTCGCCCACTTGGCTGCCTTCTTCCGTTTTGCTTCCTTTTCAGCTTCTCATCATCAGCAGCAATCGTTTCACTGACGACCCCCCCGAACGACTGCAGCCACCGTCTGGGGAGCAGCCTCTCCACCCCTTTGGTTGATTGCCCATCCCCGCGCTTGACCATAAGGGACAGCGCCGGGACAGAGAATAATTTCCGAGCCGCGAAAGGTTTTTTTTTTTTTTTTCCGCCCACGAAAAGCTGCGCCAGTCGCGGACTAGAAGGTGCTGAAACGCTGGACAGCTCCCCGCTTCTCCTGAGCCGTCAAGAAAACTTGCCAAGCAGGATTTCCCAGCCGCCGCGACGGACTCCCCTTGGCTGGGACGGAGGCTCCTTGACGCCAAGCACTCGCAAATCAGACTCAGTTGGGCTGCTTCCCTTCCTCCCGCCTACTGACATCTCCGTTTTTTCCCATCGGCTTTTGCTTGGGACTGAACGAGTCCTTCCTCCCCACCTTTTCTTTTCTGGAGGACTGTGCGTGCCAGTTGTATATCAAGCCAAGCAGCCCTTCGGAGGCACTCCAGAGGAGCAGGATCAATATGCTACCTGGCGTCCGAAGCTGCAGGAGGGCTGCTGAGGTTTTCTGAGCCGGCAACCCTTGGAAGCAGCAGCCACTGTTTGCTGCAGAAAATCCCTGATTCGTATTTTTCTTTCCTTCCCTGCCAAAAGACGTGTGGGAGGAGAAATTACATTTGCACTGGATCTTTAAAGGTTTGGGGAGGGGTTGGAAGGAAAGAAGCAAGAGAAGCAAGGCAGGAAAGAGGCTGGAGCTTTTTCACCTGCTCAGTTGTTCTTTTGAGAAGAGGTGAAAGATTGGTGGGTAGCTCTTGGAGAGCAGGAGGCAGAAGAAAGAAGCTAGTCCAGCTTGGTAGCTGTGAGCAGCCTGCAGGTCAAATGCAGCCTGTTCGGCACTAGAGGGGGTTAGTTGACAAGATAAAAATAAATAAATAAAATAATAAATAAATAAAATCGTTCTGTTCAGCTTTTGGAAGGCGGTAGCAGCTAAACTTTAAAATTGCATTAGATAAAAAGACACTTGTAATCCTTAGGGCATGCTGGCAATTTGCTATCTTTAGCTTTTTCATCCTTCCTGGGGACAAGCAACTTCCTGGTCTGTGGAATAATGATTCCCCAAGTCAATTGGGATGTTGCGGGCTAAGGTCATGTACAAAATGATGAGTTTCAGAGTTGGGTCAGGGAATCATGATATTGTCTTCAGTGAACTAGACCTATAAGTTTTTTGTTACATGTCCAACAGAGGAAGAAATAATAAAAGACTGATAGATGAGAATGACTGTCTGGTGGTTATTATAGGAGCTAGCCAGAAGGTGAATTAAAGGAATAGAACAGAAATAAACAAACCAAAACATGTTTTCATGTTGTCAGCAGTGTTAGCATTTGAGAAGGTACCATGGGGAAGGAGATGGGCAGCAAAGAAGATACCAAGAAGGACCTCCTAGGTCACAATGGCAGCAGCTTACTTGGTAATGTGTGGGAAACATTGTCCAGGAAGACATCACTCTGGGTCTGAACTTAACCAACGGAAAGACAGAGACTGTTGTGTAAAAGCAATAGTAAATATATTTAAGCGATTGCACTAGTTGATTCTAGGCTTAGAGAAAAATGATAAAAAAGAGCTCAGAAAGGCCTCATATCAGGATGATGTGGAAGAATTTATAGAGGTATGAAGAGTGAGAGGAGAAAAAAGACCAAGGCTCACAACCTAAGGGAGATAATCTAGGTCTAGAAAGTTAGAAAGGAATAAACAAGGGCAAAGGAGGTTTCACATACAAACCGGTGGGTAGATAAAATATTTTACTACTTTACTATTTTACTACTAATGATAGTAAAGTTGGAGAGTGAAAAAAGAATCAAGAGCCCGCCCACCTGTATCATAGGTGAGGAGAGGGCAAATAATTCAACAAAAAAGGCATTGATAATAGATTTAACATGGTATTTTAAGGAGAGGGGACTAGGAAGAAGAAGACTAAGAAAGATGATATATGAGTCTGTCTTGTAAGCACAGAAATACAAAATGTATTTATTCATTTAAAACATTTACAGTATATAGTAAATCATATAACTGGGTGGCCCCTAATCAAAGTATGTAATACATTTAGAAAAATAGATTTCATAGAAGGGCTATTGGAAAGGGCATCAATTGGAAGAAATAAATCAATTTGAATTTATTCATATATGAGGGAAATAAAATAATAATTGTTTCTTTTACACTAAATGCAAGCTAAAGAACTTCAAAAATCCCATTGTATGTGCCATTATTTAGGTTGTTGTATGAATTGATATATTTGTCTTTGGGCCTGAGCTCACATGACTAGATAGCAGTGCTGAACTTTCACAAATATCTCCTTCAATTGATAAACCTAGAGGCAAAGAATACAAAAACAAAATAATAAAATTATCTCATCCATTTTATATTTTATAATTCACATAATTATAACTGCCAATATATAAATGCCACATCAGATGCTGTTTTGTACATATCAAAAAGTTTACTTTCAGGCATACAGTAAAGATATTCATTCTGCCTTTTCAAGATTATTTAGCAAAGTTTGAAATCTTTTCTTTTTATTCTATCAATCTTTGTTAGAATTTAGAGTTAATAGAATACATTCAGATAATAAACTAAAAGTTTTTTTTAAATGATATTCTTTTTGACTGCAGTTGAAGTTAAACTGCAGATACAATGAAGTTTTTAAAATACTGTAGAGGAGCTTGGTAGAACTATAGAACAGTGAAAGAATTTAGAAATCAGTATTGTAATAGAGTGATACAGGTTCAATCTATAATCTAGAAATCTTCAGTCTAAATTACATTTCAGAATGAACTCTGTACAATATGAGTAATGCAAACATGAAACACTTTGAATATTTAGGAAGAATGTGTGCAATAGAATATAATGAATATCTGAACTTGTGTAATAAAAATTGGTATGGCTATATCTAGCACTGTATGGCAAATATTTTTTATTGTACAGTCAAGGAGATTATGATTATGTTGTAGACTTTTCACAAGTTATTCTTTTTAATCAATGTTGAAGGACAACATGACAAGTAAATTGAAAGAACTGTTTCATTTTCAGAATGAAAATGAAATGCTAGCGGCATGTATCATATAGCATATAAAGAGTGCTATTGAGTTGTTATAGGCATATGAAATTATCTAATTTTGAGTAATGACACCACTCACAGTTGTAAAAGGCATCCAGGTCTCTGCTAAAACCTTCCTTAACTTAGACACAAAAATTCATTTGCAATTAAAGGACAACTTCTGAATCCAAACCCACATCTAATTGAATCACTTTACTACTTTTGAAAATATAATTATGTTGGAATACAAGATTATTCTATTCTGCAAATTCAAAGCTATTTTTAAAGTTTTGACACCCCCCAATGAAAAATTGAAGTGACTAATATCTCTCTTGCAATGTGGAATATAAAATCCATAAATAGTGCTTTTTATATCACTTAGGATATTTTTCTATTAAATAATGTCCAAAACCAACTCCAGATTTAAAACACTTGTAATTTATTTCTATATTATTGCTCACAAAATGGTGACCAGCAACATGGAGAAAACTTGCTTTCACTATCAACTTCTCTAGTGGTTGAACTCCAAATAGCTATTAATTATAGAAGATCTAGAAAATAATGCAAAAGAACAATTAGAGGTAACGTTGAGTGTGGGGGGGGTGTGAGTATATGATTTTATTTTGTTTGTTTGATTGGTTTCTGGTTTTCAAACAATAATTGTTGATGTTGCTAACATTTATATTATTTTAATATTAATCCAACTTTATAAATAAACATAGTATATAAGCATAATAATCATTTTGAGAACACACACACACACATATAGAAAGAGCGAGAGGGAGGAGAGAGAGAGAGATAGAGAGAGAGAGAGAGAGAGAGAGAGAGAGAGAGAGAAAGTGAGAACTATTGTCTGTGCTGGGAATTGGAGTACAAATTTAAAACCATTTCATACAATTATATACTGCTCAAAAAAATAAAGGGAACACAAGCAGAAGACATCCGAGATCTGAATGAATGAAATAGCTTTATTAAATACTTTGTTCTTTACATGCAGTAGTTTATACACTGCTCAAACAACTAAAGGGAACACAAAACTACTGTATGTAACAAACAAACTATTTAATAAAGCTATTTCATTCATTCAGATCTCGGATGTCTTCTGCTTGTGTTCCTTTTATTTTTTTGAGCAGTGTATTTTCTAACACAAGCTCCAGATTCAGAATACAAAACATTGCATGCTATGTTATTAGCAATAACAATTTATTACATTTTACAAAAAATTAAAATCTATATTGCACAATGTTTTATTTAATTAACAAAGGGCAAAATTTTAGTCACTAGATCTATTTTAACAATCATAAAATATTATTTTAAAACCTTATTTTTGGTTGCCAGTGAAGTGTGTTTATTATTGTCAGGAAGACATAATCTATGTATTATAATATATAGAAATTTCATCAAAGCAGTAATTTCTAACTAGTATACATCAATACTATGTTTATAAACCATGTATTGGCAAAGAGCCTTTGTAGTGCTACTCTCGAAGAGAAGGAAGTCCCATTTTTATTCTTTGTAAAAGCTGTAAATCAAAAATACATGTTGTCATTCTATAAACTGCTTTTTAGAATGTAATGTTTAATAACATTTGATATTTTAAAGCTGAATACACTTTATTCTTTAAAATGTCATTGCATTATACTTGTTAAACAATTTACTTTTTTAAAGTACATTACTTAATGCTAATACTTTGAAATATGGAAAATAAATAATTGTAATAAGCATATATTTTAGTCCAATTCCAAATTCTAACGAATCATTCAGGAATGTTGAGACAATAAGACAATTCAATATTTCAAATTCAAACTGAATAAAGTTAGACAATGGTGATTATTAAATTCCAACTTTAAAGTCATGCAGATAATGATTAGCCTACAATTCTAACAATGCAGTTTATGTGTTATGAATTTATTTTTAAATGTG